TGTAAAAACATAATGCTTCTAGTGTATGCTTGATTCACACATCAATACTACTTGATTCTTGACTGATAAAACTTCTTGATTCAGTCAGAATTCTATACTTCTAAAACTTTGCTCTGTGGTGGTTTTAAAACTCTTACTAGCGGCATTTTGAAATACCACTAACCATTTGACTTGAACAGTATAGCCATTAATAAATAGCTACACTAGACTTAATAAAATTGTTAATGATTTCCGAAAACACCTAGCTTGTGCTAGAGTTCCGCTTAATCTAACTCTTTCTTGCTTCTTCTCGCAATTGCTTACTTCTGGCCTTAAACTCGTCATCTATACTTGGGAACGAATACTTGCTCCTTTTTGTGAATTCATCATTCTACTTGATGAATAGATGGAAACTTATTAGTCTTTGCTATTCTACAGACTATCTTTAACTTTTACATATCCAGATTACTCTTAACTTCTAAAATTCTTCCGAGAAGTTTAAATAATCATCTCGGTATCTAAAATGTGATACTTATTTACTGATATCTATTAAGATTCAATTTCAAGTCTCCAGGTAAACTCGGACAAATAACCCTTATTCCAGGTTTCCATAATTTACCCAGCTAAGTGACTATTATATGTCGATACCTTAAACTCATATTCATTGGTTTCTGAAAAGTACTTTGTATAGCTGTACTGTTACTAACAAGTACTAATACAGAATAACTGATAACTTGATCTCGAACTTTGCAAATTTTAGTTCATGATATCTAACTGATAAGATACTCATACTCCTGACTCTAAAGATCGACTACTTTCTGAAACTATGTTTCTCCGGTTCAGTTTCAAGCCTCCAGGATCTTATCCGGCTTACGGTTCTTATGTCAAACCTCCATGATTTACCCGAACTTATGGCTATTATACACTGAAAAACCGTTACTTTTGATACTGACTTATATATATAGTCAACCTCTAGAGTCAGATCTTAACTCAAAACTTAATCTGATGGCTTTAACTTAAAATTTTCGGTTCTCTTTATTGATCTATTGAACCTTTCGAGATTTTTAATTGCAAAACTTAACTCGATAATCTATAGTTCAAACTTGACTATAGTTCTACCTTCTGATAGGAAAATATATATAAGACTACTAATATTTTCTGATACTAATCTGAACATCTAGACTGATTTCTAGAGTTCGGATATCTGCAACCCTATTGAGCATAGACTTAGTAAATTTGAATATATTTAAAAACTTGTATAAAACTTTTAACAGCACTTACCTGGTAGTCGGCGAGGTGTGAGTGTGGTGTGGTCGGGTTTTCTTGAAACTTCTCTTTCTGAAACTTAAACTTTTAGTACACAGAGCACTTAACTTTAGCTCTGATACCAACTGTAACACCCCGCTTATCAGAGTAAATTTTTCGCAACTGTTACTTCAAAAATACTTATAAATTTTTCAAAATCTTTTACACTTAACTCGGGATGCTACTAAAACTTATCTTTTCTGAAAATCTGTTTTTCTTTAAACTTGGTCTAACTATTATTTTAGACATAAAGAAAACAGATTTAATCGAACATGCATGTAAACTGGACCATGTTCACTGTTGAACTGGTTAAAATTTGTAAGTCTGAAAATACTTAACATGCAATTTCGAAACTTGAAATGCGTAGCGGAAATCTAAAAAATGTAACATCATATTATACAGACAGTATAAATAAATGTGCTCGTCAATAATAACATTCTGAATCCCACGACCCCACCACCAATGCTCAGCTCACACCTCTGTATGAAAATGATAATAGTGGGGCGTGAGTACAAATCCACTGTACTCTGTAAAAACCCATACTGAATATACAACACATATAATCCAATATCATGAACTAAGTATATACATAAATAAAACTTTACTTTACTGATGCAACATCGGGGAATTGTCTGGATTATCATGTGATCACACTCTGGGGGTCGCCTCCCCAGAAACCCAGGATGGGAAAACCTTCTATACAAGACCGGGTGATCATAAACTCATCTTAACTGTACCACGAACGGAATACTTCGTCCGTTCGGGTAAATATCTACATACATACCTCATACATGGTATAAGATTATAAGCAATGTAATACCCAGGCTGGGTCCCCACCTGTTCTTCTTTTGAAAAACTTTCGAAAACTGTAAGTGCTGTACTGGGTAGCTGTATCTGCAAGCTACATAAAAATATAAACAAATATACTAAGAACTATGCTCGTAATACTCAATAAGGTGCTAAGATGCTCGACTCTATCAGATAACTTATCCGGATATAATGGAACACTCTAACAGTTCTCTAAAATCCTACTTAGTTCGGAAATAAAACTGATATGCTTAACTAAACTGGTTTGGCTCGGATAAATACTTAAATTTCGGAATAAAACTCAGACCGAAATACTCGAACCAAAAGTAATTCGAACTGACCGGTCTTACTTAATCGAACCGGAACCTTTTCCAACTGCTCAACTTATATCTGATTATATTTCAAGGATTTTTATCCAAATCAAATTTCATAATTTGATTCAATTTAACTTGAATTAAACAAGTCTCAAAACTCCATTATTATTTTTTTTTATTTTTTTATTTTTTTTAAAAAAAATCACATAAAATTCTAAAAATTATGAAACTTGGCAATTAAATAGTAGATATACTCAAGTACTTGATGTTCAAATTTCATCTCATGCTTCTCTATCACTAAGACATGCTTTTAATATTTTTAAACTGATATTTAACCTCTGATGCAACAACAAAAACCACATAATAAGCAACACAATCTCAGCATTATCAACATAAACAAATCAAACTCTCACATATACATGCTTAAACTTGAAAGATTCTAACATGAGTTTAACTAATTCATCAACTTAAAATTAAACATATATGTAATCATCTCAACTCAACCAATAAGAGGAAAAATGGTTCAACATGATTACCTTCTTTCAGGTTCTGAAAATAATTGAAGAGAAAAATAGAGACTCGAACAAGTCGCACACCCTTGCTCTCGACTAAAACTCGACTAGTCTACTTTAAGGTCGAAAGTTTGAGTCTAGGATGATATCTATTATGAAATGTATAAAGTTTTCAAAATTTCGATGATTTTGAGTTGGAAACCGATGGCTTTTTATATAGGTAGGAATATGAAAAATATATTTTTCCTCTTCGGCTTTTGAACTTATGGCCCGAACTTTATTGAGTGCCTTGAGTTGTGAAAAATAATAACAATTAAGACACACGTCATGTGAGATTGATAGCCTCCTTGAATAAAAAAATTGATTACATCTTCATCTAATATGTGCCCCATAAGAAAAATGACAAAATATCCTTGTCTTTAAGAGGTGATGGCCGGATTTATAATATTTAAAGTCAAAAGTAATGGCTAGAATTTTTTTATGTATTATTGATATTAAATACATGATGGAGGCCCAACCATTTTAAAATACTCTTAATATAAAAAAAAATATATATATATATATATATATATATATATATAAAATGCCTGGTTTTTCTTTGCAAAAGCTTGCACACAACATGCTATATACATATGCTTATTACATGTATATCACTTGAATAAAGAAAAGAACTAAGACATATATAAAATATATATAATATATATCTTTTGCGAAATGTGCTATGTAATCATAAGTAAAATTCTTTCCATTTAATATTAGACTATAATTGCTCAAGGAAAGTGGAAGAAAAATAAATTTCCTTTTTCTCTCTCTCTTCCTTTCGGTTTTTATAGCAACTGATGGTGAAGGATGGATTATTTTATGAAGTGCACTGATTAATATCAGGTCCACGCCACCTCGACCACGATATTTGGTAGATATATGGATGAAAAGAAAATAAAAGTGGGACACTAGATTTCTTCTTTATGTCTACCAAAACAGTTGTCCCAAAATTAAATTTAAGTGGACAAATACTAATCTTAATCATCACATACGAATAGACTTTAATTAGCTTAGTCATCCATATGTCACTATCTCAAACTTAAGCATGATAGGAAAAAAATCTTAATTAAATGTTTATCAAACTCTCCTCAATCTGCTATTAAAACTTAAAAACTGAGAGGACAAAGGAAAAATGAACACATAACTCTTTAATTTATGACACTTACATTATAATAAGAATTTGTGCCAAATAATGTGCTTAGTGTCATAATCACATTTATAACATACATCACGTTTTTACTCATCAAAATGGCTGGACACTATCTGATTTAAGATGGAAAAGACTACACACCTACTAATGCCATCACCCGAGAAGACTATATTGATTTGAAAACTTCTAGTCTTCACTTTTAAAAATATTAGTGGCGTGCACGGAAATCTAAATTTGACCATATCTGATGGAATAAGAAAATGACTTCTCATCTGCTACTATGGTTACGAGATAACTTGGCTCGCCTCTCGACCGAACATACTTGGTTCCGTCACGACTCAACTTAAACGATTTCTCGAAATATTCTTAATTTCGATAAATTCGTCATCATGAAATAATTAATCCCCACTTATAAAGTCTATTACTAAAATAAACGGACCACAATTAATTAATAACTGGCTCGATTATTAAATATAATGTAACCGAGAATACTTTCGACTTAAAGTTGAAGTTATAACTAAATAACTGGCTCGGAACTATAAACGAGCATTTTTAATAAAAGTAAATTAGTTCAAACTCGGAACTAAAAATAATTACTTTTATTAATAACTGAATGGGATGTTACAAATACATAATCAAATTATAACAAGGCTCTACAATTTATATCAATATCAACATATTGAACACAAATAATCATAGGCATATGTATTGCAAAATCACATATACACATATAATCGACACATATCATCAAAAGACAAGAGATAGCCACCCATTACCGTTCACCATACGAGAGACAAGGAACAAAGGTGAAGGGCTCGGTTCTACGGGGTTGCTATTAGGGTGCTCGGCATTCTCGGTTCGAATAAACAGGATTTTGGACTCGGGCTCGCGATGGGACAAGAAAGAGCCGCTAAGAAATTACCAACGAAGGGCGACGAGACCTCAGGTGCGGTGGACAATCTGACGGAACCTACTGCTCGCCAGAAGGAGTTGCGCGGCTGTGGTGGATCGCCGAAAAACAGGTGTTCCTTGGTTTGCTGGAGGTCGCTGCTCGACGGGACTTCGCGAAACAAAAGACAAATAAAGCCTAAATTGTGTCTGACTATGTGCGTGCACAACCAATAACCAACTAGTACTAATAAATATAATTTTTTTATTACATTAAAAATCCCATCTATATCCCGTGCAATATCTACCTAAGCTCCCTTTGAGCTGGACTTTGCGGGCGCATTTTTTAGAACAAAGTAAAACCCAATGATAGGGGAGGGAAAAAAAACGAATTTCCCGGTACCGATTTAAACTGAAATAGTCCCGTTCCGAAAAATATCCAAACGGGTTTTTTTAATTTTCGTACGTTCCCGGTACCAAACCGTTTGAAACAATGTCTGTATCAGTTTTGAATATTTTTGTCCCGAACCGTCCCGTTTGTCCTGTTTTACTTTTTTCTTTTTATACAATATATATATATATATATATGTATGTATATATATATATTATATATAGGGATTGGTTCAAATGCGTCCGCTTTTTTAAAGTGAGGACGTGAGACTCATTTTTAGCCATAAGATTTGGTACATCATGTGTGGCCAAGATTTACTCTTTTCTTTTAATTATTTAAATATTATTTTGACCCGTTGACTCTAGCGTTGACCGTTGACTTCCGGCGTTGCTTTCGACAAAAATCGGTTGACTACCGTCGTTGACCGTTGATTTCCAGCGTTGATCGTTGACAACTAACCTTCCAACTGGCTAGGTTAGTTTTCTGTAGTTGCTAGGTTAGTTCTCTGTAGTTGCTATAGGTTAGTTCTATGTATTGCTAGTTTAGTTCTCTGTAGTTGCTAGGTTAGTTCTATCTTGTTGCTAAGTTTTTTTTTAATCAAACAACGCCCCGGAAGGACGGGGGATTGGACTGGATCTCCAACCTGTGCATAGATCAAGACCTCAAAACGGGGGCCCAAAATATTAACATACTACAGTATATAGAGTCTCACAAGCAAAACAAAAACAAAAAGGAAAAAACAATACAAAGTCTGTCTTCGGGCTAATAAGTGCCCGGAATAAAAAATCTAATCTAATGAAAGCAAAAAACTTAATCTACTGAAAGTGGAACGATGGATATCCAAGCTGGTCCATCCGTACAAGCGTGCGAAGGCGGAGAGGAGCAGTGTCGGTCTGAAACGTATGTGGGTCTTGTATCGTGGCGCCAAGGCTGGCAAGGTAGTCAGCAGGTCTGTTCCCCTCACGGAAAATGTACGTGATCCTGTGATGGACAGACCGAAGTAGAGCTCTAATGCGCATAAGCGGGTGCTGAATCTGCCACGAGCCCTGGTGTCCTGAAGTCAGGAGGGTAGCGACAGCCGCAGCGTCCAGCTCAATCTAAATATGACTAGAAAGGTGGACAACAATCTGAAGGCCAATCTGTAATGCCTGAATCTCTGCGTTGTAGCTCGAGGAGGCCTGAAGGGGCGCATGAAAGGCGGTGATGAGGGTGCCGCTGTGGTCCCGAATCAAGCCTCCTCCTCCGGAAGCTCTAGTATGGCGATCAAAAGAGCCATCAGTGTTCAGCTTGACCCACGGAGAGTCGGGTCGAAGCCAAAAAAAAAAGCTCTGGGCCGAGGGGGCCGAACAGGCGGTGAGGGAGCCACCATGTAGCGGTGTGGTGGCGTGCAGCCTGTTCAGTCTCGGGCCGTGAGCCTGCCCAACTATCTTGTTGCTAAGTTAGTTCTAAGTAGTTGCTAGGTTAGTTGTCTCTTGTTGTTAGGTTAGTTCTCTGTAGTGGCTAAGTTAGTTGTCTGATGTTGCTAGGTTAGTTGTGTCCAATTGCTAGGTTAGTTGTCTGATGTTGCTAGGTTAGTTATGTCTAGTTGTTAGGTTAGTTGTCTGTTATTGATAGATTATTTCTATCTTGTTGCTAGGTTAGTTATGTCTAGTTGGTAGGTTGGTTGTCTGTTGTTGCTAGGTTAGTTCTATCTTGTTGCTAAGTTAGTTCTAAGTAGTTGCTAGATTAGTTCTAAGTAGTTGCTAGGTTAGTTTTTTGTTGTTGCTAGGTTAATTCTCTGTAGTTGCTAAGTTAGTAGTTGATAGGTTAGTTCTCTGTAGTTGCTAGGTTAGTAGTAGCTAAGTTAGTTCTCTGTAGTTGCTAAGAGCTGGTCCCATTTTGAGAGCTAGTCCCATTTGATCCGCCCATATATATATATATATATTGTTTTTGGATAAAAGCTTATTGATAGAAATATAAGTGAAGTCAAATTTTTAACACAAGTTGAAGTTGTGTTAGGTGTGGCTTGTAAGGCATTTGAAATGTCCATCACCCCGGGTTTGAAACCCCATCATCATGTAAAAATTTCACGTAGGCTAGTCGGTAAAAGTAACATGTATTTGTCGGTGGCATGACTAAATCTCCGATTTTTTTGCATTTACATGTTCCAAAAGTGACTATCAAACGGGACCAAACCACAATGGGTGCCAGTTACATAAATCTCCAAATTTTCCAAGGTTATGACTTTAGGACTATGTTATGGTGAAGATCATGACAGAATGTGAAACTCATTAGTTGCAAACGATCACACATCTACTGAAAAATTTAAACCCATTTGTATATTTTAATTATCCAAAATTGATTTTCAAAACCATGCAAAAAATAAACAAAAAAATAAATAAACGTCATTTGTTAGTCTATTATATTTGTGCAGCATTTTTGTTCTTATTGTTACACTACATATACTTTTTCGCAGCCTAATCTGACATCAGATGATTCACCAGCTCCTCACAATGACGAAAAGCTTAAATATAAGAGAAATATATTATAAATAGAAAAGCAAGCGAACGTAGTACTTATGCCGTTTTCCGACCTCTCCATTTCAACTCAACCTATATTTCCCTATCATACGACTATGAGTCTGTTACGACTATGAGTCTGTTACAAACATTCTAACTTCTCCATTTCAATATAAAGCAAACATTCCTGTCTTGTGTTCGTTTTCGCAACTCCCGCAGGTTCTTCCACTGCATGAGCTGCCAGTGTCGCCTATCGAGAGTTCCCACAAACACTTGCTCCAAATCGTGCCACCAAAAGTAGCGCTTGGTCCTGACTTTCTTTTTTTTTTTGATTGGTAGTGGTCCTGACTTTCTTGTTTGCAAGCAAGATGTTTAAATGAAACTCCGAGAGCCCGTAGTTCCTGTCCGACTCGCCCATGAGCCTACAACCCCAAATGTGACTCGGTCGACAAACACGAAACAAGCCATTCGTAAACCCCGTGTACCAAGCAGCCGTACGACATTTACAAGTACCAAATTTCAAGCTCCGCACCACCACAGGCGGCTCATCACCGATAACAGCACTACAGGGCACGTCCTGAAGGCCGACGTCCATCTGCAAAAATAGAGAAATCCGAGACCCACTTAGTGCCTTCAACACTCGTCTCAGCTTAAGTAGCCATGAATTGAGGTCTAAATCGGGATCATCCTCAGGTGAAGTGAAGTATACTTTTGAAGACCACTCTTTGGAAGTAGTGGTCGTGAAAGAGAATGTGTCCGGCGCCTGGGAAATACTGGCAGTGAATTCAAAACTGACAATGTTGGGGGCACAAATCGTAACTCCTTTTAGCAATACTTCTGTGGTCCAGATGCGCAAGAACTTGACCGAATCACTAGCAAGATGAAATTCCTCGAAACCAGAACAATTATCTAGGGTCAATCTCGCAAGAGTCGGGCAGCGGAAGGAAAGCAAGTTGAACGACTCGCTCGACAGGATCACTCTATTGAGAGTCAATCTCGTGAGACGAGAGAACACGAATGCGCTTTGGCGGTGACACCAAATCCATTGGCCAATGATAAAGACTGTCTCGAGATTTGGGACATCAATTTCGATGCTACACCCTTTGATCCTCTTGGACTCCCACAATTCTAAGTGCTTGAGCCCAGACGATCTCAGCCTAACGTTTCTCAACTCCCAACAGCAATTAAGGACGAGGCGCCTGAGCAAAGGGCAGCCCAACATTATCGTCTCTAAAGTGCCCCAATCAACTTGGACCTGTTCGAGGGCGAGCGTGTGCAAACTTTTAAACCGCACGCTCTCGACCGGGCTCAGCCTGCATTTGCACAGGTGTAGTTCTTCGAGGGACTCGGCTAAGAAGACAGCCGAGGGGAAGTCCTCAGCATATGAAAGAAAATTGAGTTTGAACACTTTTATGTTGGGGGCGGGTATCATCGGAATCCATTTGTCGAGAAGGGAGATGACCGTTCGTGAGTCGGACCTCAATATGTCGAGATGGAGTTTTTGTATGGAGAGGTTTTGATCACAGTATCCTTGTAGGATTCGGTTGACGACGGTCACGGAGACAAAATTTTCTTGTGTGTTGCCGAAGGAAAACTCGAGGTTGGGGCGGGTTGATCCTATGTGGCGCCATTGTTTGGAGAGTACACAAGTTCTCACTGCTTCTTTTTGGGAAAGGAAACAGAGAATGTGGTGAAGTATAGGAATTTGCAATTCGGATATTTTATCCTCCACGGCTGTGGACAGAGTCTCCTCTGTTTCTGCCGCCCGCTTAAGCTTTTTCATAGGCGACAATGTGACGTGAGAACAATTTTGTGGTCTGCTGAATGAATGAGCCCTAATGCCGATTACTGTTAATAAAAAGAAGGTAACTCATTATAATAATATTAATAATTAAATAGACTCCATTCCTTTCTGTTTTAGGTGTGTTTTTGCGCATCATACATAATCGGCTGTTAATAAAAAGAAGGTAATTCTTTATAATAATATTAATAATTGAATAGACTCCATTCCTTTCTGTTTTAGGTATGTTTTTGCGCATAATACAGATTTTTGGTACATTCTTTTTCTTTCTGGATTTTCCAAAACCACCTATGTGTAATGACTAATGATATGATCTTATTGTATAAGATATGTTTTCATTAGTTTATCAACTTCAACGACACTAGATTTTGATTCTTGTTTTAAGATATGTGCAGTACAAGTGTCTACTTATGAGACCTACAAGGTACTTTGAAATTATTTTCTAGACATGGTATCACTAATTATTCATAATTTGTATATTCTAATGCATTTTACTTTTCCATTTTAGAAACTTTTTCGAGGAAAGGACGAGGAACTCTTTATAATTGCAAGATTAGTAGCAGATGCATGACTTCAACTCTTGTAAGTTCTTAGACAACAAACATATTGCTTCAGATATATGGCACCTCATGTCGTTGTGGCATTAATCTTATTTGCTGATTATAGTGAAATTGCAAAGGCAATTTGACTTCAAAATCATGCTATAACACATTGTGGCAGTCGGAGTGCTATTAACTTAGCGAAAAATCAAGTATTTCATGCAAGAAAAAAACACATATTGATGATCAGCTCTAGATTGTTCCTCATAGGGAAACAATGTTACACCAAACCTTGTTCGCCATAGAACGAGTCGCACATGATCGTTTAAATAAAATAAAATCGAGAAAACATAAGGCACGTGTTTCCCCTGCAACCATATTGTTACTGGAGTCAAATCTTGCTCATTTCTAATTTTACCAGCTAGAAAATATTGTTAAGTTCAACATAAGCAGCTAGCAAGAGAATGATTGTTGGATGAGATCTCAGCAGCTTTGTTGTAATAGTCTTGGCTCTAGATGTTTTAACTGGATGGTAGTTTCGGTGGTTGTTCTTCTTGGTTAACTTTGTGTCTGCCTTTAGTTTCGGTGGTTGTTCTTCTTGGTTAACTTTGTGTCTGCCTTAAAGACTAAAGTAATGTTTCTGTTTCATAGACTATAACCAGACTAGGCTGAGTTGGTATCTTGCCATTTTTCTCTATCAAGAAAGCTTTATATTTCTTTGAAGAAAAAAAATTCATTTCCACACTTGGGGCCTGGACTTTTTCAATTCCGCTACACTGGAAATCTGTGTAACTACACTAAGTTATATCGAGCAGCTCTTTTTCTTTCTCGGAGCGAATTCGACGGATGCAAAGTGTATAAAGAAATAAGTTCAAGAAGAGTTATGAGAGCTGGCAAGAATATGGTCCAGGTGTGTAACATCAGCAGTTTCAGAGGAATGATTGGTACTGGAAGACAGATACCTCAACTGGAGATCGTAATAGCAATTTTAGGGAGCCTCCTAGAGTTAGTGCGTGTTCTCCTTTATCACATCATTACTCAGTCCTTGGCCTTAGGTTGAAGAAACATAGTAGAATAACTGTTCTGATAAACATAGTTAAATTCAACCTAAAATTCGGCTTTCATACAAAAAATCATGCCAGTGTGCATATGAATTATATTTTAAACTATTATATATCATGAAAAATATAATTAAATAATTAGTAATAAAATTAATTTTAGATATTATTTTAAATTATCGATATTCAACCACGACGTAATTTAATCATTCTATTCTATTATTGTTGCTTCATGCATCGCGCGAACTACGTAATAGCTTGATTTATTTAGTTGTCGCTTTATGAACTAAGGTTTTACTAAGTTGTTTGGGCACTAGTTATACCAATTCTTTGTTATGATATTCACCTGATGTGTTTGAATCAATGTTAGTTTGTTTGTGGTTTTTCATACACAATGCCATAGGGCTGGCTCATTTAGTTTAGGAAACATAGGGTCGGGTATTCTATTTCCTAGTCTGTTTAAATCAGGGTGTTTTTCTTTTAATTCATCTCATGTCAAGCATCTTCAGCAGCCTCATGTCACATTTAGCCTTTAGCCCTCGTCTTCTGTTTGTTTTCACTCACTTCAAGTTGTTATTTTATCGGTACTTGCCTTGTAAATTGCAAGAAAAGGGAAGTAACCCCGTGACGCAGCTCGTCGTTGTAGTAGTAGTTGTAGTCGTTCGAGTCTCTATCCCTATCTTGCATTTGTTTGCTGCAATCAACATCCTCAATCACTATAATTGACCGGTTATTCGTGCTCAGCAACTGCCTCTTCCGAGTTGCTGTACAAACTCGCGAGCTCCAAATCGTTCACGTCGAACTTGAGGTAGTTGCCAATTGCCGCTACTAGGCTCGACTTTCCGGTGCCCGGTGGCCTGTGCAGCAGGGTAACCCTCCTCCACGCCTTCCATACACTCCGGTAGCTATCCTTCCTCCTTACAAACCGGTCCAAGTCCTCACACCACAGCCCGCTTCACGAAATGCCTTTTTCTGTTATTTACACTTGCTTTTTGACAGCAATGTAGTATATATTTTAGGAAAAAGCTATTTGTACAACTTTTTTGTACAACATTCCACGACAACATGATGTAGCATGATGTGGATAGTTGAGATGCAAATAAATGTATGGTTGAGATTTGAGTTAATGATACCTTTAACTAAGTTGTCAACCAATGTTGTAAACTATAATTATACATGTAGCATTGTCGTATATTTTATTACTTCTTAATTATTGAATCTGTACCATGCAAATGGACATAAGATGCCACCATTGTTTCCAGAAATCTACCCTAGATTTATGTGTGTTATCCTGCCATGTG